TTTTCTTCTTGTTCTTCTCCTCCTCCTTTTCCCCTTCCTCCTTTTCCCCTTCTTTCTTCTTCTTATTTTGAGACATAACACAGTTCGGCCTTGAATTTGCTAAAGTTATCAAGACAATACCAAATACCAGGCTATGAACTCATGGTCCTCTTGCCTCTGCCTCCTGAGTTACTGATATTACAGGTGTGCATTACCATGCCCAGTTTATGTGCACTAGAGATGGAAGGAACCCAGAACTTTGTGCAGCCAAGTAAACATTCTACCAATTGAATAACACCCCAAGCCTTGTAATTCTATTTTAAAAATGAGTAATATACCTACACAGAAAAGAATTAAGGTCAGCAAAAGTGTTCTCTTGACCCTTGCTCTCAACAAATTCAGTGGCCCATTTTGAATGTCATCACTATTAATGACTTATTTGGGGTCATTCTAGAGGGGGCTTATAAATTAATAGTATTTGTTCAATGCTCTTTCCTTATGGAAATAAAGTTTCAGGTACATTTAATGACATTTAAACTACTTAATAATACCGAGTAAATCTTTGCTTTCTATAGAGTAACCTTTACTCTCTTATATGATACTACTGCAACCCTTCTGTTGTCCATTGCCAATACTGAGGCAATAACCAAAGAGTATTTTTATGATTTGAAACCATTCTTTAATACGTGCTAAACTGTAGCTTTGCAAGTAGCTCTAGTTTTATTTCAGGTCAGTTCCTTACTGGTGATAGTAAAGTAGATACCCAAGTATTGATAAATAGCTGCTTTGTGTTTAGAGTAAATAAGAAACATATATTGATGTGAATACAATCATTAATTTGTATACTGTTTCCTTTTTATTTCTAAGTTCAATTTTTTCCTTTTCTTTTTGAGATTATAATATAATCAGTCTATCTATCTCTTCCCTTTCTCCTTCCAAACCTCCCCATATAACTCTGCTTGCTCTCTTTCAAATTCATGGTATCTTTTATTATTATTGTTATTATATGCATATGTGTATACACACACACACATATTTCTAAATACAACCTGCCCAGACTGTATAATGTTACTCATATGGTATTGGATAATCCATTGGTGTTCTCTTCCCTGGGAGGACTATTTCTTCCACTCTCAGGATTCCTTAGTTGTTTGTAGTTCTTCATGTAGAATTAAGGCCTTGTGTGCTTTACTTCATCCACTTTTGCATGTCTATCATTGTCCTTGTTCAGCTCGCATTTAGGTAGTCATCTTGGTGAGACTTTTAGTTGTAGCTTCAGACATTGCTAGGAGATACAGTCTCACAACAGACTCCCTGGTTCCCTGGCTCTTACAATCTTTTGCTCCTCTTTATTTTAATAATAATAATAAATTCTTTATTTTAACGGAATTATGATAAAGTCATATGTAATATTTGCATGCAGAAATAATATATGACACCTCTATGTTGCGTGTACATATGGCTACCTATATAGAGTTCCTCCGTTCTCTTAGCATGTGCTTCATAGATGAACCCGTGTGTAGCTGCATCAGTTCTCACAGGTTACTTAAACCATCATCACCAACTTGAAGTCCTGAAGCTCTTCGGAGTCATGTAATGGAGCGATCCATACTAACACTCTGATGCTCCTCAGAAATATGCAAAAATAGCCAAAAAAAAAAAAAACTACTTTATTTCCTCGTGTCTTGAGGAAAAGTTTTGCACATCATGTGGGACCGGGACCACTCTTTCAGAGCATTGGTAGTTTCCTCATAAGGATAACTAGATACATTCTGTGTACACATTCTGAGATATTAGATAATAAGAAACAAATATTACACTTACCAGACAGGGTGTTCCAACATGCTCACAGCTGAAAGGCATGAGAGAATCTCACTTGCTAGGAATTCTAAACCAATAGAGGCATGAGAGAATCTTACTTCCTAGGGATTCTAAACCAATACCATTTGTAGGTGCTCTGCTTTCTGCCTGCCCCTGACTTTAACTTATTTACAAACACTTTTACAAACAAAAGAAATCTTTGAGAAGCCCACTGTCCTGGCCATTTATATAGGTATCTCTGTGTATCATTCAATAGTCATCATCTAGCTAGATGCTTCCCTTGCTCAGTGGCTCCTCATGCCAGCCTGTACATTATGTTCCTCCAAGCAAAATCCTTCTGCAAATAATTCAGTTCACAGCAGTTTCACATTGGCAAGAATCCAAGTCTTCAGCAGCAAGAAAACCAGAGTCCCTTCCACATTCTAGTCTTGAATCTGAATTCTTCATGAATTTCTAACATGTACAATGCTCTCTTCAAACCAATGGCTCCGTTTCTCCAAAGATATAAGCGGGTGATTACATAATTTTTTTTTACCAAAACAAAAGAGAGGGGAAATACCCTTTATTCAGTGGTTATATGCCAGCTGGACACAGAGCCACTTTTATCCCTCAGTATGCCCTTCTGAGGTAGATAACTACTTATCTGTTCAGGTTGTAGACCTGAGGTGTCAGGAAGTTAGGTTACATACATCAGGCTTGGGACTTGTGATGGTTAATCTTGTGTGTCAGCTTGATGGGACCTGGAAGTGTGCCTCTAGGTGAGGAAGAGTAGCGGAGGGAGAAGGCCCTCTTCTACAGTGGGTAGTTCTTTCTGCTGGTGACAGCCCCAAAAGAAGGAAGTCTAAAGAAAGCAGTGCCGCTTTTGCCTGCTGGCCTTCACACCTTGCTGTGGATGCATCTACTCTGCTGCTGCCTTCATACTTCGCTAACTTTGGAATGCAGCCTCTGTGGCCTTCCAGTGCGGACTAAAGATCCACAGTTGTCCAGGAATCTCCTCGGCCTTCAGTGCCAGATTGGAATTAGTAAGGCACCTAGCTATATGGACTGAGCAGGTACTGGATTCTCAGTCTTCCTGGCATATAAAAAGTCATTGTTGGATCATGTAGGCCATAGCTTGTAAGCCAATTGACTAATTTCCTTTGCAATAAATATCCACTGCATGAGTCTGTTCCTTTAGAGGATGTAGATTGATGTGGACCTGGAATGTAAGTCCCGAAGTGTTTTGTGCTTGCCTCCGATGCATCTATTTTGAGCTCCCCTCGTCCTGTGTGCTTGATCCCCAGATGCAGCACATCTCTCTCACACCAACAGCTTCTTCGTTGCAAACAAGCACTAGTACCCCTTCTTTCTCCTGGAGTCACACCTAGCTGCTTTCTAACAATACAGGCTTAGAGTCACCAAAAATCTGCTTTCTTTCTGTACACCAAGAACAACAGTAGTTTGCAGTCACTGATGATCTTTTGTTAATGTCTGTTTATTAAATTATTGCTATGCCCTCTGACCTCAGCCTATACAGTTTTGGCTTTGACTTCCTACAATGCTACTTGATTTTTTTTTCTATTTTAGGATGTTTTTTCCCTCTTTTCCTTTTGGCTCACTAGAGCCTTGCTGTGTAAAGGGATGTGAGTGGGCTAGCAGTACCAGCTAGAAAAGCAGTGCCATGCAGATTCCACATCAGGGTAATCTGGGTTTTCTCAGCAGTCTCTAATGGTTACTGTGCATACTAATGCTTGACAGTCACCTTGGGAAATGCACTTGCAGGTCAGGCCTGGCCAGGTCCTCGTAGTCACATTTGAAATGGTTATGCAACTTGCTCAGCTTGTCTATTATCCCCCAGACCCAATCAAATACAAGGCCAGCCTTTAAGAAAAAGCTTGCTAACCTTTGTCCTTGGGCATATACCTCACAGAACTGAAATTCTCAGTAGAATTTCCAAAAAAAAATGATTTATTGTATTTTATGTGTATACGCGTGTTTGTCTGCAGGTATAGATGTACCCCATATGCATGCCTAATGCCCTTAGATAGTAGAAGAGGGAGTCAGGTCCTCTGGAACTAGAATTACAGATAGTTGTAAACCGCCATGTGGGTATTAGGAACCAAATCTAGGTCTTCTGTAAGAACAACAAGCGCTCTTAACTGCTGAGCCATCTCTCCAGCCTCTAGATTACAACAACAACATAACAACAACTCATAGTTTTTACCCATATTCCATGAAAGTGGGCCTAAATTCAGTCCTGCCTCTTTATCTTTGTGCATCGTCTGGGGGTTTATTGTTGATTTGGTTTTTACAGTAACACTGATGACTTTACACATGAAGTTCCCTGCATTTGGGGCAAGTGTAAACATATGATGCTCTTTTGGCTTAAAGCTCCTGGAAGATCAGAGTGAGACTCTCTGGGAGCAGAGTTTTAAATGGAAATGTTTGTGGGGCTGGCTGCAAAAAAAAGGAGTGCTCCTCGAGGAACTTGTAAGAAGGGGAAAGGGAGCAGCAGAGACAAGATGCTGTGTCTGCCCTGGACTTGACTTTCAGCTGCTTCCATGTCTGGTGCTAGAGTGTGACAGAACCAGAGAACTATGTATCTTGTGGCCCAGGTCTGGCGCCTTTGGACCAGCATATTAGTCCTTGGCCTGTTATTCATGGGGGAAAGCACTCTTTGCAGTTTTTTTTTCTAGGGAAGGCTTTTCTATTGGCAGAAGCCACCTCCAAGATTTTGGCAGCCATCATTCCAGCAGCTGGTGGGGCAGGCGGGTTGGTGTCATGGCTTTAATCTCTGTGTCCTTGGTCTCTAGAAAAATCCTTGGCACCTAAAAATCAAGAAGTAAATGTTTTATGCAGGCCAGCATCATCCTTATTTTATTTGGTTGCTGGGATAAAATACTCTGACCAATATCAGCTTTTGGAGGAAAAGATGATTTGCCTCACACTTCCAGGACACAATCCATCCAATTCAGGAAGTCAGAACAGGGACGAAAGCAGGGAATGGACAGCAGAAACCATGGAGGAATGCTGTCTGCTGGCTTGCTCTCTGGCTCACTCACAGGCTCATTTTAGCTAGGTTTCTTATACATCTCAAGACTATCTGCCTGCCTAGGGATGGGGCTCCCCACTGGGGGCCTTTCTGCATCAGTTAATAATCATGACAATCTCTCCCAACCCCAAACATGCCCACATGTCAATCTCATCTAGGCAGTTCTCAATCTCGGTTTTCCTCTCAGATGATTCTAGGCTGTAACAATTTGACATTAAAGCTAACTAGCATGCACTTCTTCCCAATATAGGTCTTACTTCTTAATTAAAATAGACTGTTTTCATTGTCTTTCTAAATGTGCATCCAATTAATAAAGCCAATCATCTCGGTAGTTAGGGTAACAAGTCTAATAACAAGCCTAAATAGAGATCCACATGAAGACACTCTGAGTATTGCCTGAGCTGTAATAGGCAACCATAAATGTTAGTTTATTTCCCTTTAAGATTAAGTATGCTATGCATATTTTATTATGGAGAGTATCAACTTCCCCTTTTATGGCTTCTAACAAATTCAAATAAGCTGAGAGATTTTTTAGCTGTTATTATCTCTATGGTCCTTTTGCTCTATTTGCTTTACTTGAGGCTAAGCAAGATGACCATCCTCAGAGTGAAGAGGCATCATGAGGTTCTAGTCTGAGATATCGTGATAATGACATGAGAAAGTGTGGTGTACATCAATGGAAATCTAGTCTGTGTTGCAAACAGTGATTGCTGCCAGATAGTTCACGCCTCTCACAGGACAGGCAAGGGGCTAGGTGCCGTGCACGGTTGTCAACACACAAAATACCCCTAGACAGGTAGGGTACCTGACTAACAGCAGCAAAATGGTGGAACAAGTACGCGTTTTTATATTTAAACATAGTTTTAAAGAAGTCAAAATGTTATGAAAATTTTACGTAGAACTGGTTGTTTTAAAAATTTGAGCTGCATGTGAGAACACCATCCCTTCTTTCATTCATCAGATTTCCAAAGTCTTGATGTCATGCATTAAACATTTATTTGTAAGTGTGAGTGCACACGTATGCTCCTTCACGTGTGTGGAGGTCAGATGGCAAATTGAGGTGGTCGGTTCTCTTCTTCCGTGAAGCGGGACTGGATAGAGCTAGTGGGTCCCTAGGATAGAACCCAGGCCATCAGGCTTAGAGCAGCCTAATGCTGAGCCATCTCATCGATTGATTTCACACCATCTTATTGCTGGATATTGTTCATCCTGATTTTAGAAGTGAGGGAATAACTATCTAGAGAGTACAGAAAACCGTGGAATGTCAGAAGATAGGAAGACTGTGACAAAGGAGTTGAGGCCTGGAGGAGCAAGAGGGAGGTGGTAGCAGTCAGCTGAGGAAGGCTTCCCTTTTACCTAACACCCACAGGTTTGGACCAGGCTGCTGCCCTCACTAGAGGGCAGTTCTGAATCTATTAATGGAGTACGACTACAACAGGGTCCAGAGGTCTCGTGGGCTGTTAGACTCCAGAACAATCCTAGACAAAACATCTTAGCCATTTCTAGAAACTGCCCCTGTTGGCTTCAGGCACTGGTGGCCTCTTACTTCTTTCTTCTTTGGTGGCATTACTTTCTCTAGTTAGTTCTTCCTAGTGAAGCAATGGACTAGAAAGCCAACATTTAGGCGAGCCCGAGATGTGCATCTTCACAGACCAAGGCCAGTGAGCAGCAAACAGGAGAGTGGGTGTGAGTTGCAGAGATGAGATGCGAACAGCCAGGACACCAACATAGCTAGAAGGAGGTGAGGCTGGCTGCACCTGCTGCCCCTCCTATATAACACAGATGTTTAACGTGAAGCTACAATAGTGAGTAATCTTATCCACTTAACTTCGAAATCCGTGCTTCATAAGACTGAAAATTGCTCGTTTGTCCTCTGATTCTGGCTCTTCATTAAACTTCAAACATGATTTTTCAAGAGAGAAAAGAAATTTTCTCATATGGCCAACCTTATGAATACTGGCATTGGTGCTGCCTCTCAGCATTGGAACCCTGCTGGCATCTTCTGGTGCTATTCATTA